ACTTTGCTTTTGTCTGTTTTTATTGCGAGGCAAAACTGATCTATTTCATTACAAAGGCTCATTTTTTTTTCAGGTTCTTCTTCACGACGGTTCCGAACTAGACCAGTTTACGGTGACATCAGCGGAACTCGTTCAAACTTTTTCAAATTAATTTACCATGATGAGTATTCAATATTTGTTGGAGCCAGGTAATCAGTGGGTGTTTTGGTTGATTTGATAGTGTTCTTCCCACTTATTTGTGCTCTCATAGTGATGTGGACGTTTGTAGAAAACAGCTGCTGTTTTTGCAGATGATGTGATAAGGCGTATGATTTTTTTTTTATTTTGCTTAGCTAATACTCATTTGTGGGACTTGTAAAAGAAACTGAACTGCCAAAAAAGAGAACGAAATGAAGATGGTAGAAATTAATATTGGAGTGATTGGTTGACTATCTGGCATTGTGGTCCAGGAGTGCTGGGGTCGAAGTGCACAGCAGGGGGGCCGGCAGTTTCAAAATTGCTGGTCACTTCGATCAAATCAGTAACCGAAGCTGTTTATGTTGGAAAATGCCGATAAATGATGTTTCTTTTTTTGAACTTAGTTTCGTTTTTTTAGAAGGTCGTTAATTGCAAATATAACTTGACATCCAAACAGTCAATGTCTGCTTTTTTATTTGTTCACAGGCTGCTGCAATTAGGTGTCTTGAAAGGACGGGTAGAGAGTCTATAAAAGTCACGCATGAACTTGAGCAAAAAAGGGAGAGGAAAAAGGACAGTGAAGCAAACTTGTTGATCTTCACAATAATTATTAGTCACTGGGAAAGGAAAAAAGCAGGGATTTGATTAACCTTGCTGTTTAAAAAGATTTTAAATAGATTAATTTTTGATAACGATGAGGATTTGTAATGATAATTAGAATTCAGTGTTTTGCTGGTACCTTTACAATTAACTTGTGGTGACATTATTGATGGATCTGACTGGCGATTTTACGTTCATTTTAATGAACAAATTTGCTGCAACTGCTTTTTTTTCTCTGCTTTTCAGCGAAATGAATTTACACTTACAATGGTTTTTCTTCATTAATCACCAGATTTAACAAACATTTAATTAAGGGAAGTTTTTCTTGCTAAAAGATCAAGTGCTGGAAAAGATGTAAATAAACAGTCAATTTGCATAATACCATTGTTTTTATAGTACAGTAGGCTTTTTGAATCTTTTATTGAATTTTTTTTCACCGAGCTTTTGTCTTTTTATTTTTAGGAATGCTGTGTATAACTTATCGCGCAGTACGATGAGAGCTGAAAAGGTCGGTCAATGTTTTTATTTTTTGTTTCTTTATTTTCTTTTAATATTTGAATTTTTATAAAAGTTTTCAAAAATTTCTTTTTGTTTTTTCTTAATGGATATGTCTTTAGATAGTGGAATGGGCTCCAAAACCACATTACATTGAAGACTGTTTTAAAAAAGGCAAATCTAAGGTCTGTTATGCTGTCTATTTTAGTGTACTTTTGTCGCTTTTGTCATTGTCCAAGAGCAGCGGCAAAGGTGCTTCTTGAATTCCTGGCACTACTACTGCACTGGATTTGATTTAATCCTGGTATTCATAGAATAAGGCAAAAAAAGTAAAATATTTGTAGACACTGGACTGTCAGAACTATATTCGTGTTTTGGTAATGCAGAAAGATGGTAAAATGTTAATGTGTGGTACCCATGCGTATTCTCCAAAATGTGCTGTATATTCACGTGACGGCAGTGTAATACAACGAACGAGTCAGTTTGATGGACAGGTGCAAAATGTTTTTTCTTTGTAAACAGTGTTCTTCGAAATTTTTTTAGCTGATTTTTTTCCTTCAACGGGGTTTTCATAGTGTTCCCTCATCAATTTACATAACTTTTTACATATGTGGAAAAAATATTTCAGGCAATTTCACCATATGATCCACGGCACAACTCTACTGCAGTCTACGTTCCAGAAACTGAGGAAATATATGTTGGGACAGTGTCTGATTTTGCCGGCAATGATCCACTGATTTATCGGAGGTCGGTATCCAGAAGACCTGAAGGACTTCGAACACAAAGGGATGACGCGAGATTATTGGACTGTATGTTTAAATCATTCTAAATTTGAGCTTAGCGAAGTACTTTATTTTTTTTTATTTCTGCTCTTATTACAGCTCCACATTTTGTCGGATCGTTCGCATATCATGAACACGTCTACTTTTGGTTTAGAGAATGGGCTGTGGAAACCAGAGAAAATGACAAACAGGTCAACTCGTTTGCTTTTTAATCAGCTAGTTTAGTTTCTGAACCTGCTCATTTATACTTAATTTTCGGTTAATTGACAGCTCATGGTCATTGAAGGTGTATGCTCGCGTCGCTCGTGTATGTAAAAATGATCGAGGCGGACGAAGCTCAATGCGTGAGCGATGGACCACATTCGTAAAAGCTCGTCTGAATTGCTCATTACCGTCAAAGTCTCCGTTTTTGTTCAACGAATTACGTTAGTTTTACTGGTCATTTACTGTTGTAAGCACCATGTTTGTTAAATGTTAGTCACACCTTAAAATAGTTCAGAATTATTTGTTTTAAGCTGTTTTGATTCTGACAAGTCTGACAAATGTTTTAACGACATAATGGTCTATTATAGGCGGTGGAAAGAAGAAAATTCAATATTGTTTTTAGTAATCTTTGTTTAGGTGTCTCAACTTAATCTTGAATTAGCAAAATTTAGAAATGTTAGCAGTTAAGCAACGGTGCCTTACTTTATTGTTCATTCTTTAATAGTTCTTCTGTGAAATGTGTTTCAGTTGATTTTTTATTTTTGCCCTAAGCGGACTGTTTAGGAGGCATGAAGAATCATCGTTATCAGTAATTTAGCTGACCAAACCAAAATCCAGCAGATGTTGAATTCACTGTTTGAGAATTGCTTATCGGAAATGACTGTTTCAGCTGTTTTCTTTTACATTAACTTACTTGAATCTTAATTTTGAAAGGTATGAAGTCGATTTTTTTGGTCGGGAGTAGAAAAATTTATAGGGTCGATCACCGAACCAGTGAAGCTGTTCGATAAAGATGTTGTTTACGCAGTGTTCACTACTCCTGAAAGTGATGTGCAGATGTCGGCTGTATGTAGTTTCAGCATGCAGACAGTAGAGGATGTCTTCGATCGCGGAGACTTCATGGTTCGAGAGAATGATAGAAGTGTGTGGACTTCGCATAGACTGGTTAAACAGTATTGGAACCTTCCGTTTCCTCGACCTGGTTCGGTTGGTTTTACCAAATGCTAATATTATCTCTTCGCTACAAATTACCGGTTTTTTATTAAGCTTACTGGCTCAACATCGGTTTGTAATGTTTGGAGAAAAAAAATTCACTTTTTTTAGTGCGTTGATGATTCCACCAAACTGGATGATAGGGTCCTGTCTTTCATATTACACAATCCACTTATGCATTCGGCAGTTCCTTCTTTATCGAAACATCCTTTATACGTTTATGGACCAGACAAAAGTTTTACCAAAATTGCTGTTCTTTCACAGGTAATCTATACTGCAAATTTATTTTTTTGCGGTTCTGATGTTATGCTAAACTATCTACAGTTTTCTAGATTAGAGCAATAAATGGTACTAATTTCTCTGCAATTTATGTTGGGACTTCTGATGGTCATATTCTTAAACTTGTTGAGACTCAAAATGAATCTATATCCTTAGTGGAAATGGTGCGCGTTTTTGAAACTCCAGCGCCAATTGTCGACCTAATGGCAACTGAGGATCAAGTACTGTACCTGTTTCCTTTTAATTCTGATCTCTGTGCTAGTAGTATCTTTGTTGAAAGCTTCTTTTAACGCACATGGATTTCTTTTCAGTTAATTGTCGTAAGTCCAGATGAAATTGTCAGTATGCATCTTCATCATTGCGAAAGACAAATCACTTGTGGTGGTTGCGTCCGGTTGCAAGATGGGCATTGTGCTTGGGATTTATCTCGGGGGAAATGCGTTTTTGATCCAGAAGACACTCGTAAAGAAGGGAACTATGTGCAAGAGCTTTTCAGTGGGAGATCGGACATCTGTGGTAGTGACGATTCCGGCTATACCGTAAACGGTACTTCAAATTCTGTTACAGAAACAAGCATTTTTACAGTTCTCTGTATAGTTTAATAACTTTTTTAGATGGTACATCATTATCAACACTGGAGTCAACAACGGCATCGTCAGGAAACGCGGTTATGGTTTTTCTTGCCGTTTTTGTTGCTGTAGTTACCGGGTTCATAACTGGTTACCAGTTTTCTCAGTGGCGTATAAGGCACGGGTTGTTTTCACATTCCTCGGCTTCGTCATCAGGTTATTCTTCTGTTCCTTTAAGATGAGCTCTATTGTATCTCATTTTTTTTTTCGCTGCTGACCCCCGGAGTTTGTTCAGTTGATGCTAGTTTTTCGAGAGTGCAACAGTTGTGGTTTAATTGCAGGAAGTGACTATGATTCTTACGGCCGAGCTCACCTCACCCACCATGATTCATTAACTCAAAAAAAGTGTGACCATGTTTACGCCAATCCACCAGCTCCCGATATCGTCTCTTTAATGTTACCAGTGCCACAAAATGGTACTGTTTTCAAGAGCGCAATCGCCAGTAATGGTTCGACAATAACTCCAAAATTGCCCGTTGAAAAGAATCTAGTCGCTACCTTAAGCAATGGTACTCTCCCGAAAAATTATAAAGTGAAGAAAGTTTACTTGTAGTAGTAGTGGTTTCTTTAGTACCCCATTACCCTGCTTAGCAGAACCCGCTGGAAGCTGAAAAAAGAACACATCTACAGGTGTTTTGAAATAACTAGATAAGTCTTTTGCTTCACCACTCCGTTTCTACTCACTAATCTAATTCTCACTGTTTTACGCACTATGTTTTAGAGGGGTAAAATTTTTTAAGCTTTCAAGATAGATTCTTGGCGGCAGTTGTAGATAACCATCTTATTTTTGGCGTTTAAAATTTCCTCTTCAAGTTTACTAGGTACCTTCAACCTGACTGTGCCGGCTAAGATTAAGGACAGAAAGTAATTTAATCAATAAATGTTTCTCTCCAGAAGGTTAATTTCTAGGCGAGACTGAATTTTAGACACTGAACAGCGATGGTGGAGATTCAGCTTCCATGTTTTTGGTCTTTTTTTTCTTTGAATGATCTCTACTTCTACAATTTCTATTTTTTTTTAAATTTTTCAATTTTATTATTCTTTCCTACTGTTAATAAGTTTGTAGCTACTTTTTTTAAAATGAATTCTTTGAGAGGCAAATATTTAAAGTAACTGTGTTGTTGATTTTTGTAAAAAAAACAGTTTGTGTCAATTCTTTGAAATATCTTCTCAGAGTCTGTCCTCTCAAATGTTTTCAACTACGGGTATTTTCAAAGTTTTAATTTTTTAATAATACGTAAAAGATGCCTGGCGAATTTAAAACCGCTTACTCGGTTAGGTTTGAAACGGTTGATCGATATCCGCGAAGAAATTTGAGAATACTTTGAAGGTTTTTTAGTTTTTGAAACTTTAGTTTTGGCAATATTTCGGTGTTTGAGAAAAGGTCATGTACAGAGTTACGGGTTCAAGTCCGCCTAGGCAACAAATTTGCTGTGATTTACTTTGAATATTTTTTTGTAATTAATTAGAGGTGCTACTGATTAAATATTTCATCATAATTTTGTTTTTTTAACTGTGAGTGCTGTTCTTTGTCGACATACTTTTGATGCATCGGGATCAAGTAGTAACAGTTAAGATTTATTGATCTGTAATTTATTTCGATAATAATGTTTTCTAGCATAGTGCCGAAGTATATTGTGTACTGTAGCTTTCTGACCACTTAGTGACAGTTGAGATCACTTAAGAGTCTTTTCTTCTTGGTAAGCAAAAATTTACTGGCCGTCAGTGACAGGAAATGACATCAAACATGTGCGCCTGTCTTGTACTAAACAAGTTTCGGTTGACACCGCCGAAGGCTTAATGCGTGTTTGTTGTTACTTGAGTTATTGAAACGCGGAATCGTGTCCGTGTGGCACACCACGTGTGCAGCTGTGTAGATCCACTTAGTGCCCTTCAACTCAAAATGCGGGAAGTTGATTTGAAATAACCGTATTAATTTCTCGTTTCTCTTCTATTAACATGAAAAATACGAGTCTAAGTAATTATGCATTAATTAATTTTGAACCTATGAGTAAAAGTCAACGAAAATGATGTCAAAATTGTTGTGTCGGAAGTTGGGTATGTGTTTCCGTGATAGTTGTGAAATCACGGCAAAGACTGAACAGAAAGGACACATTTCTAAGATTTTTTCAAGGAACTGTAAAACTTTATTAAAAAGCGACGAAATTGCAGAACGGGAACACTGCTGAGATACTGCCTCCTACTACCTGATAGAAGACACACGAAAGCAAAAGTAAGTTTTATTTCAAGAAAAGGTTGAAATAATGTAAGGAGATCTATCATTACAGGGAAATATTTTGGACGGTTAAGTGCGAGCTTTGAAGATTTGGTTAATTCTACCTTTTGCCGCCATGTTTTTAAACCTTTTTGTTTCCTGAGTAAGTATCAACTGTGTATTACAGCAGCAAACAACGAGGATTTGCGGAGGTTCACACGCAACTGTTCCTTTGAAAAAATCTGCAAGATAAAATTTACGCGGTCATTTTCTGCTACATGAAATGGCAACGAATAAATCTTAATTCTTGCCTAAGTTCTGACCGGGAAGTCACCGTTTAAGCAATTAATAAACCGCTGAAGTTGCATTTTCAAATGAAAAGTAGGTAAATGAACAAGGGGAATAAAACAAAATTCTTACGTCATGAACATTAAACTCATTCGCAACAGTTTCTAAAACGTTTAACGTTTTCAGTTTCTCATCCGACTCTTCGCAGATCTTCTGTGTCTAAAAAAGTGTTTACTCAAAGCTTAGCCAAAGTTTGGTTTTGAACGAGAAATAAGATGGGGACAACAAACTGCAAAGTGTGACACAAAGATGTTGAGTTAAAATTACTGCTCTATATCGTTAACTATTCTACCTCCTTAAAAACTGTAATTTATTAGTCAACAAAGAATTTAAATCAAAGACTGTAAAAAAAGGACTTACCGTACATCAAGGGTGCTTTCTAATGCTACAGTTTCCTTGTTCAAGTCTTCATCCAATTCAGAGTGATTGTGTTCAATTTCTTTACATCACTCAAACAGCCCCTAGAAAAAGAAGCTAGCAAGAGAATTTGTTCAGCAAAATTGAAGTTGTGAGGACGACGCAGCCGCACTATCCTCTTAAAATTTAGGGTCTTGAATTCAGGATGTACCAAGGAATTAAACCCACCAACAAACCGCAGAATCCTTCATTGCTTGCTATAATCTCATCAAGTAATGTGTTCATATCTTCCACCTACTAACTTCATTGAACAGCAATCTTTATATCAGCACACATAAGCTTCATTTGAAGAAGATTTTACATAAATCAAGTCCACTACTCGTAGAGTAGGTGCAGTGAAAGGAAAAACATTTAAAATTTCACTACTCAACCCATTAACGTTTACTTTGACTGGTAAATGTTTCAAGATTTTAGTTTCTCTGTTAGAAAGCAAAATAAGTCGTATAAATTTTACTTTCCTGACAAACAGCAAATCAGGGAAATTTTTTAAGTTTCTACTGCTTCAGTTTCTGCTGTTCAATTTGTTGCTTAAGTCCGTTACAGTTGTCGCATTCTTCATTGGTAACTTAAACGATTCGTTTAACTGTAGTGAATAGAGAGTTGAAATAATTTAACCAACTGCAACAAGAGGGTTCAGCAATTTAACCAGTTGTTTGACAATAGATATTTTTGTCATTCTTGTATAAGGCTCAACTTCAAAAAAGTTTTGTTTAAAAAGAGTGAAATTTTGTTGTTAGTTTCCTAAGTGCAGTTTAATGCATAATCTAAATTTTTTTAAATTTACTGTCCTTTTTAGTAATAGATTCTAACTTAGATTGGTGCTGTTGATAAAGGTCATCTATTACGTCAAATTTTTTTCAGTATATTAAAAGTTTATTTACTCTGGAGCAGTTCAGGGGAAGAGTTAGAAATATGTTTTGTCACAAACGATACTCTTAACAGATTTCAAAACCGTCTGTGATTTTTCACTTACACTATCTTTTACTGATTGTAGCAGTCTTTAAAATTTCTATTCTGATTAGAACAGTTTTCAGAGGGAGACTCTTGATTTTTTAGTGTGCCTTACGTGTGTGCGCGCAAACCATTTCTTATATGATTTTTTCAACTCGAAGTCCTTGTTATGGTAAAGTAATAGATTCATTTAGTTTAGGCTCTGCTTCAAGTTTTGTGAAAGTTTCCTAGTTTGAACTTTTCTGCTCAGAGTCTCAATTAAACTTTCATTTAATCAATAGCCTGCTTTCTGGTGCTTGAATGAATTGACCAGCTGTCATAATAATGATCTATTAAATACTTTTGAACTTTTCGTGGTTGGCAGACAACGTTCTTAAATTAGAGGATGTCTTGTTAAATGCTCAGCAGTAATAAACAGGAATAATAAATGCAAAGCAAGCTGTCACTTGCCAAACGATTGTAATCGATTTTTTTTCAGATCGCAACTTTTTTCCTTGACTAGTGAAATTTTTTATTGTAATTCGGCTCCAACTTTGAATTCACGAAATGAAATGGCCAGTAGAAGTATTCAGCTGATTGCTGTTGTCGTCTTCAGTGTTGGTTGCTCACTGAATTATCTGAGTAGAACAATTGCCTGACAAGAAAACAGAAAGAAGCAGAAAGAAGCTAACGAAAGAATCAATGTTAAAGAAACTAAACTTTTTTTTTCTTTTTCTTCAAAATATCTTTCAGACTTCTGGACAAACAGTAATTTTCGTTGATACGAAATTTGTTTAAATTTGCTTTTTATAAAACCGACAAATTGTGGTTCTGCTGAGAGACATAATTTGATGCAAATTAGTATTTTTACAATTTGCATTTCTAATCTCTAAAATTTTATTTAGCTGAAGTTTTCTGAGGAACAAATTGATCTCCTAGTGGTAACGGGGCCAGGATAACTTAATTGCATTTTTTAGACATTTTTTGTTTATTTGACTTTATAGGTTAACAAAAGTGAAAATGCTTTTTCCCATTCCTATTTTTTCACAGTTGAAGAACCAAATAAAAAGGCATTTAGCTT